GGGAGCGCCGCCACGCTCCCAAGCGGCGCACTGTAGCAGTGCGCCACCAGGCCGGCCCATAATTTTATATTTATATATAATATGTTTTTATATTCTTTATATTTATTCTATTATAAATTCCCTGTTCATGTTCTTGGTCTGTTTTTCTGATGGTATGTTTGTCTTTTTCTCATTGTTTCATAAGTTCTGTATATATATAGATATTAACTTTCCCCCTGTCATATATGTGGTGAATAATTCTTGTCAATTTTATTTTACCAGTCAATAGTTTTTGACTTATGGAAATTTAAAATTTCTCTGTGGCCAAATCTGTTAATCTTTTCCTTAATGAATAAGGCAGGGATCTAACATTACTTTTTCCAAAATTGTTCTTTGGTGATACCAGCATTGTATTTTGAATAATATTTTTCCTATATTTTGAAATGCCACCTTTATCACCTACTAAATTCCTAAGTGTGTTCTTGGGTCTGTTTCTTGATTTTCTATGATCTTTGATCAGTATGTCTGCTTATTATTTCTTTGGTTTTGGTATCTGGGTTATGCTGGCTCTGTAAAATTAATTGAAAAGATTTAAAGTCTTCTCTAACGTCTGGAACAGTTTATAAAACATAAGAATATAGTATTTTGAGGGTTTGAAATAATTCACCCATAAAACTGGATGGGCTAGGTGCCCTTTTCGAGTGGGTATTGTAATAGCTCTTTAAAAACTTTTCAGTTTTTCCTGTGATTATTGTTATTTTTAGTTCATTACTTTTACTCTAGTCAATTTGGATAATTTATATTTTCTTAGAAAAGCATCCATTACATTGAGGTTCTTCTAATGTATTTAAATAATGTTATACAGAGAAAACTTTGATAATGTAAACCATTCTTTCCACCTGTGGTGTTTCCTTTTTTAAAAATTCTAATGCTATGTGTTTGAGTTTTCTTTCTTTTTTCTTGATTAGCCTAATTAGAAGTTTTTTTTTTTTTAAAAAAAGTCATTGGACTTTTTATCTTTTTTTTAAAAAGTCATTGGACTTTTTATCTTTGTACTTTTTTCTTTAACTTTCTTTAGATTTATTTTAAAAAAAAGTCATTGGACTTTTTATCTTTGTACTTTTTTCTTTAACTTTCTTTAGATTTATTTTATTGTTCCCATTTAAAACAGTCTAACTTCTTGTGTTTGTTTTCAAAATTTCTTATTTAAATAATGAAAGTATGGTTTCTGCCTTATATACATGCTTAAAAGGTCTTCAGGACACCACAAGGTTATATTTAACTCTTGTTTCGTTTTTATTTTTCACATTTAAATATTTAACCTATTTTGAATTTATTTTGGTGTATTTTCTGGGAGCAGTCTGATTTGACTCCTTTGTAGGTAGTCTATTTTTTTTTCTGACTATTTGCTGGTTGTAGGAATTTATCTTTTTCCTTGCAGTCTAGAAAATTACTTTGCTCTATTTAGGGGTAGAACTGTTTCTACTGAATTTTGTCTGAGACATGGTAAATTCTTAAATCTGAGTTTAAGAATAATTTTTTTACTCTAACATTATGCCATGGGTAGCTGAAGGCAGGGTAGGGTAGTGGTGAAAGCTCCTTTAAATATTTAACCTATTTTGAATTTATTTTGGTGTATTTTCTGGGAGCAGTCTGATTTGACTCCTTTGTAGGTAGTCTATTTTTTTTCTGACTATTTGCTGGTTGTAGGAATTTATCTTTTTCCTTGCAGTCTAGAAAATTACTTTGCTCTATTTAGGGGTAGAACTGTTTCTATTGAATTTTGTCTGAGACATGGTAAATTCTTAAATCTGAGTTTAAGAATAATGTTTTTACTCTAACATTATGCCATGGGTAGCTGAAGGCAGGGTAGGGTAGTGGTGAAAGCTCCAGCCCTGGAACTAGCCAGCTTGGGCTCAAATTCTGTTGGCTTTGCTTCTTTGTAGCTGAATGAGTTTCTGCAGATTCACCTCCATAAAATGGGGCTCTTACAAGTCCCAACCTCATAAGGTTGTTGTAAGGAGCCAATGAGATTATAAATGTAAAGTTCCTATAGTGTGTGGCACAGAGTGAACCCTAAAGGAACATTTGCTGTTTATTATCATTATTACTGGCTTTCTGCATCACTCATCTGATTTTTTTGTTTTCTGTACCAATTCTGCTTTTTACTGCTTTCCATGTAATTTAAAATTGGCTATTGCATTTTTGGTTTCTTGCCCAGGCTTCTTTTCCTTCTATCACCCCTTTTATATTTTCCTTTTCTTCTTTGCTCCTTGTCTGTTCTCTTGCAGAAGTTTTGCTTTGTTTCGCAAAAGCTAGTTCTTCTTGCATGCTGTTGAGGAGTCCAAATCATTTTCTGAAAAATTCAGATGGACACTCTCCTGAATCTTACAGATGCTGTTTCCCTGTCCTGGTTGGCACTCTGTTATCCCCCCCCCCTTTATTCACCCTCTAACAAGATCTGTTCAGTGTTGGTGTCTTTCCACAGATAGGGTGTGTGGGTCTCTGTCCCCACAGCTTCTTAGGTTTTAGCTGGTGAACATGTTAATGTGCCCAGTTTCTGGCAGACTGTCCCAGTGCTTTTGAGGCTGGTATCTTCTCCAATCCCTTCTTCTAGATTCTCTGAAACATTAAAAAAAAAATGTTTGTTAATTACCGAACATTTCAAGTACACACAAAAGTAGAGAATTGTACAGTGGACTCAGCTTCAACACCTAGCTGCTCTCTGCCAGTCTGATTTCATCATTGATACTTTGAATTGGTAGAACACACAAAAATGACCTTCCAGAACTGTGGAAACTACCTGTCCCAGGATGCAGCCCCCTTCACTGATTGCCATCCAGATAGTTTCTGAGGAGAGTTCTCTTGAATACAGGTAGAAAGATTTGAGTTGGGCGGGGGCAGTGCATCACGGGGTGTGTGCAGAGGTGTTCTCACAGATCAGAACTACCAGTATGGAAGACATCTCTTCTCCAGTTTTCTGACTGGTGCTGTCCAGGCGTCTGAATCCAGGGACAGACTGGAAGAGGCACAATGTGACATTTCTGGCTGTTTTCCAACAGCCGCTGTTTCTGACAGCCAGCTGATGGAGAGTTTAGATCCTTCTTCTTCCCCCCGTCAGTCTTCATTTCTGGTGATGTTCGCCTTCATCTTTTTCTGTGTCAGCCTGAATATTTTAATGGGAAGGAGAGAAAGATGTTTATGTGACCACTGGATGGCGCTCAGGTCACGGGCAAGCCAGGGAGGCATCCAAAGACAGGACTACCTTCTCTCTTCTCTCTCCATCTTCTGGAAATAAATGAGAATCTTCTTGCAACAGGCTAACCAATTTTGAATATGCAATTAAATAGCTTGATCTGTGTGACAATAAAAGAGCTAAATTTATTGGTGAAACTGGAGCCGTTCTTTATGACTGCTCGGATTCTCTGATGTCCCTTTCTGAGGCCGCCTCTCTCCAGCCCTGAGCTTAGCACTGGTCTTGCTCCCTGCCAAGCTTCTCCCATTTGTCCTGAGGCCCCCTCAGAACATAGCACTCCAACTTTCCTTTCACCTCTTCTCTGTTTTTCCTCCACCTTGTGGGGTTCTTGCACATCGCTTTATTTTCTCACAGCTCTCAAAAGCCAAATGAAACTGAACTTTAGAAACTGGTTCTTTCTCCACATTCTCTGGCCTCATGGCTCATGGATTATTTGGTTCAACCAGGAGTTTTTGTGTTTGTGTTTGTGTTTGTATTTCCAGTGAGGACAAGACCTAGGACTAACCTCTTAAGCACTTCTGCCCACAAGTTTGCCTGGGCACACGAAAGTATTCCTTGGACCCTGTGCGTCAAAATGTTAAGTACAGATTTTGTTTATTAAAAAGGAGTGCTTTCCTTAGAAGCTACTGTTCTTTTGAAAGGTAACAGGCACATGAGACCTGTGAAGCTATGCAGATTCTTTGATAGCTTTACGCATATGAAAGTCACACTTCACAAATAGCACTTGTATCCTACAGTTTTTTCATGGCTAAGAAATCTGGAGTTAGTTTCTTTTTGTCTTTGGAGTGTAAATGATGATGCCTTCTCAGCAGTTCTCCGTTTCTCCTCCTGCCTGGTGAAGGCTAGTGTCAGGCAGCTAAATGCCATGTGCTTGGGGGTGGCAGAGAGGCAGAGGAACTGGCGGGCTGGCCACAGGCAATGGCCTCAGCTTTTCCAGGAGACACACGTGTCCCCAGGGACTGTCTGCAGGGCTGTGACTTGTGGCTCATTGGGCTGGGAGCTCCTGCCCTCAGTCTCCTTTGGCTTCCCCCAGGTGAGGGACTTGGGCTTTACTGCTCAGGCCACAAAACTGGGAGTATTCATCTGTGTTTTGGGGCTTCCACAGCCTTGGTTCCTGGGGCTTAGGGAAAACACACCAAAACACTTGTGTTTTGGCAGAAGGGTGATGAGGACTAAATAGAAGCTTTGTCTTGGGTGGCTTTACTGGTCACTCTGACCTTGACTTTATGAACTGTCTGCAGACACAGGGGAGAGAACCTGGGATGAGCCTCAGTACCCAGAGACCTGAGATTTGCCCCCAAGTTAAGAATCACTGTTCTAAGATGTCATCAGGGCCATGTCTCATTACACACTCCTAGTGGCTAGCACTGTGCCTCATTAGATTACTTGAATGAACAAATGAATGAATGCGTGAACTAATGAAAAGGGGTGGTTGGGAAACAGTGAACTGCACAGCCACCCACTTGGTCCTCCTAACCACCAGAGGCATGTGTTGGTCAGATGGCTGGAGGGATTAGGGGCACATCTGTGTCTGGGCTGGGCACCAGTCTGCAGCCAGGATTCAAAGCTGGTCTATGGGTGGGAAGCAGAGTTTGCCTCTGCAAGGAGCACATGGGGTTCGGAACTGTGACCTCAGCCTCATTAGCGTGAGATAACTGGCGAGGACTATTAGTAATTGTTTGGAAGGAGCTTAACATGGAATCCGTTTCCTTCTGGTGGTCGCTGGCCACTGCTCTCCTCGGGGCTACAGCTGTGCCCATGTCGGTCCTCTTGCTGTGGCAGAAAGCTCCTCTATGGCCATAGGCCTGGCTCCCCCAGTGATGAAAACCTATTCCTGGGGACATGAAAACAGCCACAGATTATGATTTCTGCAGCGCTGACGTCTGCCAGCCTGCATTCACAGCTGAGGGCTGGCAGCGCCTCGGGCTGCCTTGTCCCCCTCTTCTCCTGTCCTCACCCTGTGTCTCTGCTTATTCTTCCTTCATAACATGTTCCTCAACTCTTGGCTCTTGACCACAATCATGGGGCTGTGGGAAATAGTAGCAGGTATTACTTTTGGAGGAGAGCTATAGGAAAAGGTGAATAACAAATAAAAATAATCAGCAAGTTCACCAGCCATGTCCCCAGGCTTGGTCATGACTTCAGACTTGGTTACACTTTGCTGGGTGGAGAAGGAGTAAGGGAAAGTGAGAGTGCAGGAAGAGGCAGAAGTCAAACAGGACAGGGGAAGAAGACAGAGGGTTGCCCACTCTCTTGGGGGCATCTCATACCTGCCTAGAAGTGAGGGATGGATTTCAAGAGCCCCAAGTTGTGCCAGAGCATTTCCTGCCTTGCTTCTCTTATTTCTAGACATCCCTTACCAACATTTAGGGGCACGCCCAAGCGTGCAGAGCCTTCAGCTAATGCACAGCATCTGGCACTGTGCTTCACTGGAAGTGGCAGGCACCAGAAGGCAGATCCCAGTGCCTGCTGTTGTGAAAATGCAACATGATGCCTTCAGTGGCAATACTGGAAGTGACCACTGGGTGGAGATGTTGTGCCTTAAAATGCCCCTGCTTAGTGTCAGTCCCAAGTGTCATCCTGCCTACTCCGGTGGGAGCATTGGGTGTGCCTTGCTGCCTAGCTCTGGTCTTTTTATGTTTTCCCCACCCTTTCTTTGTGTCTGTATTTTGTTTCCCTCACTTATCTGGTTATAATATGGAAAAGCACATTTTCTTTTCTGTATGGAATCAAATTTCGAGTCCAGTTTTTAGTCTTCAAACAGAACACACATAGCCAGATCAGGTGTGGGGGGGTGGGGACCTGACGGCTCACCATGTGCTGGGGGCTGTGCCTGGCTGGGGTGTGGGGTGTGGGGGCGGTGATTATTTTGTGATAAATTCTTGCTGGGCTGGGGTGGGGCTTCAGGGCACATCTGTTTCCCACACAGGAGCTGTCTTTTCCTACTGCCCACCCTCCATCCACAGCCCATTCACGTAACCGCTCCTCCTCCTAGCCCTGCCCATCCTAACCCCTTTCCATTTCTTTACGCTTCAGAGGAGCCTGCAGGTGTGGTCAAGCCTCCGCAAGCCACAGACCGTATGTTGCTGTCACCTTAGGGATTACAAGGGGAGTGGGGCCTTGGGGTTTCTGCTGGAGGGAGGGGAATTTTTTGATTGGCCTAAGGTAGGATTGAGACTCACCCACAGTCCCTGAGCTTACTACCTTTGGCTGCTACCTCTCAGCCACTACTGAATATGTAAATCTTTTGGAATGCTTTAAGAGCAATTTCCTCCCATGCTCCCCAAACCCTTCCTAAACCTGCTGGGTGGAGACCACTCAGTCTAACAGTGAGGGTTTGGGGCAGGCATGGGGGTCCAAGGGGAGTGCAAGGTGTCTTGGGACCAGAAGGAGGTCAGGGGGAGTTGAAAAACTCTTGAAGTGGAAATTCACAAGGTAAATCATAATTGAGGTGATTAACACAGATAATTAGTAACGCTCATGTTGGTTCCATCTGCCCCTCCCTCGCCCCCTGGTCTCAGCAAGGATGGGAGCACTCACAGTGCTCCACCTTAGGTCTCACTCAAGCACTTCTCTGCTGAGGCCATTTATTTTATGCCTACCTTGGCCCATCCTTGTGTGGATCGTGTCCTCCCATCGTGTCCTCCCAGATGGTTCCTGCTCCTGGCCCTTTTTTCTGCCTTTGGCATTCTGGAAATGCCTTCTTCCCCTTCCCCTGAAAGGGACACCCTGTCTTTTCAGGGTTTTCAGAGTATGGCCAGTAAAGTCCCATTCTGGAAAACTCACTGTGAGCTGGAAAATGACATTAACAAAGGAGAGCTTCCAAAAAGGAGGAAATGATGTGGAGAAAAGATTTTCTCTCACCGTTAATGTGATTCTCCTTCTCCCTCTCCTCTGCCCTGTTCCACTGAAAATTTGTTCTTTGCACAGTGGGGGAGAGTTTCCTGGGATGAGTCAAGGCCATTAGGACATGGGGCATGTGCTTGGGGCTGCACTGTGGGGGAGGGACGTATACTGGGCCCCCTCCCTGTCCCTGGGAGACAGCTTCTCTGGTCACCAGGCTCTGGGACCTCCTTCGTGCCTCCCCACTGGCTGGAGGACCTGAGGCGCTGATGGAAGTGCAGGATGGCGAGTGGATGCCAGACTGTGTGGGCCTCAGGAGGGCACAGGCAGGGAGGGTCCCAAACCCCAGCTTTGCATGCTGGCTGAGTGCATGGGCTTCAAGGTGACACCATTTTAGGTCCTGCCACTTTGTATTCTTGTGTTCAGGGCACAGGCAGGGAGGGTCCCAAACCCCAGCTTTGCATGCTGTCTGAGTGCATGGGCTTCAAGGTGACACCATTTTAGGTCCTGCCACTTTGTATTCTTGTGTTCTTTTGCATCTCTGAGCCTTCAGTTTCCTCATCTGCAAAATGGGACTTATAGAAATAAAAGTATCCACATCTCAGCGTAGTGGTGGGGATGAAAGGGATTAAAGGGTCTTATGGAAGATCATTAGCATCATGATTTTTTGTATAACCACAGGGGCTACATCTGCTGCAAGTGGGGGGACTGAGGGCCAGGGATGGGCTCAGGTCTGAAGGTGGCAGTTAAACACTGGAAAGCCGCCCTGGGCCAACCCCTCTGATCCCTGCTGTGTTCCCCAGTGGATGACCATCTGGGCTTCCTCCCCACATTTGGACCCTGTTACGTCAACCTCTATGGCAGCCCCAGGGAGTTCACAGGCTTCCCGGACCCCTATGCAGAGCTCAACATGGGCAAGGTGAGACGCCAGGCCCCTGGATCCTTCAGGTACCTGGGCCTGCATGTGGGGTCTTCCAGCTTGGCCTGGGCAGTGTCTGAGCTCAGCCTAGATTGTAAGGGCCTGATAAGGCCTGAGCAGGCCCAGGCCAGGCAGCCACCCACTCAGATTACTCTCCTTCTACTTGCTCCCTCCAGGAACCTTTCTCTCTCCCATTCCCCTTGACTCTGCCCCTCCCTCAGGGTCAGTCTGACCCCTCCATTTTCCTTGTTCCTGAGGCACCCAGGCTCCATCTCAGACTTCACCTCCCCTTGCACTGGGCTGGAGGCTGGCACTGACCATCGGGGTGGCTGGGCATGTCCCCTGAGCTCGCTGGGCCATGATTCTCTCATCTGCAGAGTGATGGGGTTGGCTCAAGGACCTCACGGGTGCCTGGGGGATGAGCTACCTCAGGGCCAGATCATGCCCATTTTTCTTCCCCTCTTCTGCTCTGTCTCCCCTGCTCCTGGTGACCTGACCACCTCTGTCAGGGGGAAGGTGTGGCCTATCGAGGCCGGGTTCTGCTCTCCCTGGAGACCAAGCTGGTGGAGCACAGTGAGCAGAAGGTGGAGGACCTCCCTGCAGATGACATCCTCCGGGTGGAGGTGAGGGTGTGGCTCTGGGAGGGGCATGGGCTCTGGGAGGGGGTGGGAGAGGAGTGGACAAGCAGGGACTGGCCTCGAGGTGCCAAGGCCGAGAGAAGACTCAGCTCCATCCGACACACATTGTGCCTTCACCTCTTGGCCTCAGTGGCTCTGCTGTAAAGTGAGAATAATCCAACACCTACCTTGCCACCCTCGAGGAAGTTTCAGTGGCTCAGAGAAGATAAATGAAAGTATTTTGAAAGTCTAGAGCTTGATGCAAAATGAGGTGCTATTTTATAATAATAATGTATGAATAGGAAACTATTAAGTGTAGTCTATTAAGCACGTACCATATTTCAGAGATTGAGCTCCTGACACTCCTGATGTCATTGAATCTCCAGCATCCCACAAAGTGGCTGCTGTTATCTCCATTTTACAGATGAGGAAACTGAGGCTCAGATACATCAGAACAATGAATGGTAGAGCTGGGCCTTGTGCCCAGCGGCAATTGTAGAACCAGGAGTCTGCACAGTGGTTTAAGCTTTTAGACACTGCAGTTATACGGCTCTGGTTTGAATCCTGGCTCTACCACTTACCAGCTGTATCAGTTTCCCTCTCCATAAAGTGGGGATAATAATTACACTTACCTCATCAGACTGTTGTGAGAATTAAATGAATAAATACATGTATGCAGTAAGCACTCAGTAAGTGTTAGTGTTATTACTACAAGGATACTTCAAAAAGTTGGAGGAAAGATTCATATTATCTTTTAATTCTATTTTTCTTTGAACTCTTTGAAGTACCCTCGCATTTACATTCTCCTAAAACCCAGTTGTCTGACCTCTCTTTTCCCATTCTTCTATGAGGGGAATCATAAAGTCATCTTGGTTAGAGTCTGGATGTGTGATTGAGTGCTCCTGTGTTCTCAGCCCTGTGCCCAGTGCCCAGAGGGGACATGAGATTCATTCATCCCAAGCTCATGGCCATGGCAGCCTGCAGAGCTGGCTGGGGTGGTGGAGACTCTGAGTGGCGTGGGGTGGGAGCTCTGGGCAGGGGCATGGTGGTTTAGACTCCCAGCACCTCTGAATGGCCTATGAGGCCTGGCTTGCCCTGAGGGGCACTGTGGGAGACCTTGCTCCACTGACGTGGCAGTGCCATCGCTGCTGGTTCGGATTAAGGAGCAGCATGACCCTGGAGGAGCAGATCTTATTAGAGAAATATGGCCAAACACACACAGACCTGGAATGAGTTTGTTCAGTTAGTAACTAAATCTGGATGCTGTTTCTTTTTTGGACTATTTGCCACCCCTCAGTCCAGCCAGCAGTTACTAGGTGAGGGTTATGGTCAGGGCCTGCCAGACACGTGACGCTCCCCACCCCGGCCGTCTTCCCTCCCCCTCCTGTGACCCTCTGGCTGCCCTCTCTGCTCTCAGAAGTATCTCCGGAGGCGCAAGTACTCCCTCTTTGCCGCCTTCTACTCGGCCTCCATGCTGCAGGACGTAGACGATGCCATCCAGTTCGAGGTCAGCATCGGGAACTATGGGAACAAGTTCGACACCACCTGCCTGCCGCTGGCCTCTGCCACCCAGTACAGCCGGGCAGTCTTTGACGGTGAGGCCTGAGCCGCAGAGAGGGGCTGAACACTAAATTGAGCCTCTGTGGGAAACTGCTGGAGGCCTGCTCAAAGGACCCAGCCCTGGCGAGCCTGTTTGGGGTGTACCCTGCTCTGCTCCAGGTGGGCCAGCTGCCAGCATACACGGACTGGGCTCCTGAAACCAGTTGCCCATCTCCATCCTTATTCGGAGTCTGTTGAGTGTGGCTTAGAGGTCTCGGGGAGTGTGGGCTTGGGTTTCCCAGAGTCGTTCTAACGACCCCTCTGTTTTGATGTGCTGTGGAGCCCTAAATGAGAGCAGCGGCTGTCTGTTTAACGACAGACAGCTCAGGAGCTCAGGCACCTTGTTTGGACACTGGGGAATACAGGTCATACCATGTGTGTCCAAGCAAGTGAGTTCTTAGATAGGAAGGGGAGCAGGTACCTGTCTCCATCCCACCATCAGCCCCCGTCCCAGCTGCGCACCTTCTAGCCCTGGAGTGCCTGGGAGGCCTGAGTTCTGCAGTGTCCCTGCCCACCCACCCCTCCACTCCTGGCACAGTCCTCAGGCCCTGCTCCCCACCCAGGATGCCACTACTACTACTTACCCTGGGGCAACGTGAAGCCTGTGGTGGTGCTGTCATCCTACTGGGAGGACATCAGCCACAGAACCGACACTCAGAACCAGCTGCTTAGGATCGCTGACCAGCTGGTGAGTGAAACCTGCCCCTGGCAGTCCTGTCCTATGTCTGGGAAGAGGAGAGAGGGGATGAGAAGAGCCCTAGGGAAGCCCCAGTCTGATGTAGGAGACAACACAGAGGAAGGGAGCTGAGGAAGCTGAGATTGTAGCAGCAAGACACAGCCTTGCACTCACTGACTCACTTATTCATCAGATGCCTTTTGACTCCAACCACATGCAAGGGCTTGTACTAGGAACTTGTAGGTAAAAGTGAGAAGCCAGAAGTGAACAAGGAGCTGCCTCTGCCTTCAGGGAGTCAGTTTAATAAAGGAGGGCACAGGCTCACCCGCTCCTCTCATGTAGGCTTTCCAAACTTAGATTCAGGTGACACACCAGGCCAAGGGGCATCAGGAGGGCAGTGTATGGGCAGCGTCTGGTGGGGGCAGGGGATGGCCCCTACTCCAGCCCTCACACACCTGTGCATGACTCCCCTCCGCCCTTGCTCCAGCCCTCACACACCTGTGCATGACTCCCCCCCACCCCTGCTCCAGCCCTCACACACCTGTGCATGACTCCCCTCCGCCCTTGCTCCAGCCCTCACACACCTGTGCATGACTCCCCTCCGCCCTTGCTCCAGCCCTCACACACCTGTGCATGACTCCCCTCCGCCCTTGCTCCAGCCCTCACACACCTGTGCATGACTCCCCTCCGCCCTTGCTCCAGCCCTCACACACCTGTGCATGACTCCCCTCCGCCCTTGCTCCAGCCCTCACACACCTGTGCATGACTCCCCTCCGCCCTTGCTCCAGCCCTCACACACCTGTGCATGACTCCCCTCCGCCCTTGCTCCAGCCCTCACACACCTGTGCATGACTCCCCTCCGCCCTTGCTCCAGCCCTCACACACCTGTGCATGACTCCCCCCGCCCCTGCTCCAGCCCGCACACACCTGTGCATGACTCCCCCCCGCCCCCGCTCCAGCCCGCACACACCTGTGCATGACACCCCCCCTGCCTCTGTCTTAGACCCACCCACCCACGGGTGCACACACTGACACATGACTGTGCCCACTGACCTTCATGGCCTAGGGTCCTCTGTCCTGACAGTGCCAGGCTTGCAGTCCTGTCCTATGTCTGGGAAGAGGAGAGAGGGGATGAGAAGAGCCCTAGGGAAGCCCCAGTCTGATGTAGGAGACAACACAGAGGAAGGGAGCTGAGGAAGCTGAGATTGTAGCAGCAAGACACAGCCTTGCACTCACTGACTCACTTATTCATCAGATGCCTTTTGACTCCAACCACATGCAAGGGCTTGTACTAGGAACTTGTAGGTAAAAGTGAGAAGCCAGAAGTGAACAAGGAGCTGCCTCTGCCTTCAGGGAGTCAGTTTAATAAAGGAGGGCACAGGCTCACCCGCTCCTCTCATGTAGGCTTTCCAAACTTAGATTCAGGTGACACACCAGGCCAAGGGGCATCAGGAGGGCAGTGTATGGGCAGCGTCTGGTGGGGGCAGGGGATGGGAGGCGGGAGCCCAGCTAGGCTGCCAGTGCAGGGGTTCAGAGGAGGGTGATGAGGTCCTGGGAAGGAGATGGATTTGGGGGGAAATTGCAGGACTTGCTGTACAAGGCCTTGGTGGCCCATTGGACTTGGGGAGGAGGAGGGGCTGTGAGAAGTGACTCTGGTGGCTGGGGGACTGGGAAGATGGTGAGAGGAGCATAGCCTGTGGGAAAGTGGAGGAGGCATGTGCAGGCCCCGCTGCTGGAGCAAGCGAGGAGCAGCCCCTGGAGGGAAGGGGGCTGGTGGGGCGTGGCTGAGGGTGAGGAGGTGAGCTCAGGAAGAGGAGAGAGGGAAGGGGAAGGGAAGGACTGGGGTCTGGAGTGGGTGGGAGGGGTCCAGGCCCAGGTGGAGGGCCGTGGTGGCCCACAGCTTCCTTGCAATTGGCAGCTCTAGGGGAGGGAGGATACCAGCAGACATTGAAATGGGGAGAATTTGGAGTCAATGCTGCACTTGTCCAGACTCTGCCTTCTGGATGGATCCCATCATTGTTTCACAGCAAGACTGTAGACCCCGAGAGAGCTGGGACTGTGCTTTCTTTCTTGGGCTTGTCCCTAGACTGGTGGTCCCAGTGCAGAGCCCACGTCGCTTGCTCAGGAAGGCTGACGGTGGGGAGAGGTGCATGGAGGACTGAGGGATGAGCCTTGACCTGACAGGCATTGCGAGAGTGGTCTCCACCTCCCAGCTCAGGGCTGAGCTCATGGAGAGCTCCAGAAAAGACCTCAGTAGAGGAGACCAGGTGCAGCCCAAGGAGTGACCAGGCTATGCAAGTTTATGGAAGGAACTCCCTGTGATTGGAGGTGGCTGCACTGCTCCTGGAGGAAGGTGGACTTGATCTCAGCCGAGTTGTGTGGTAGAATCTGGAAGGGAGAGAGGGTTCCAGGTGGGGAACCAGAGCAGGCTCAGAGAGGGCCTCTTACCTGTGGGTGGTCAGACCTGGCTTGAAGGTGGCAGGTGGGGAGCAGGATGCAGTCAAGTTCTGTTGAAGTCTGTAGACAGACCCGTGCTCCTCTTGACCACGTGTGAGGTTGGAGCTTCAGGCTTGGGACTCTTAGATGTGTTTGGGTGTGAGGAGCCCTGGAAAGTTCCTAAGCCAGGGCAGATGCTGGCTTATTGGGTCTGGGCTCTGCCTTCATTGCTCTGTTTGTTCCTTTTTGGCTTAGGGACTGGGCTGTGGTGACAGGGCCTGGCCGTTGGGTCCAGTGTGTTCCTTCCACCCCACAGTGACACTCCTAACCCTTGCTTACCTATCCCACAGGAAGCTGGCCTGGAACAGGTCCACCTGGCCCTGAAGGCTCAGTGCTCCACTGAGGACGTGGACTCCCTGGTGGCTCAGCTGATGGATGGGCTCATTGCAGACTGCAGGTAGGGGGTACCTGGCACCTCCAGTGCCCTCCTGTCCTGGCTCAACTAAGCCTGTTTCCCTGGGAGTGTTCGTGTGTGGTGGTGAGCGATGGCACGTCTCCCCAGCCACGCTTGGCCAGCAGTCCAGCCTGTGCTGAGTCCAAAGGTGGCGGAGCCAGCACGGGGAGTTGAAAAGGTGACATTTAGAGCAGGTCATAAATCTCCCCGCAGCGGCAGCAGCTGTGGCCGGGCGGCCAGCTCACCTGAATAGGGAGCATTGTGTCTTTGATCCCCGACCTCTTATTTCCCTGATGGAATCTCCAGGAGAAGCTGGCTGGACGAGGGGTGGGGGGGTAGGGCGTGGGGTGGGGGGGTGACGGCACCCCTCCTTCCCCCAAGGCCATGTCGGGGAGCATGGTTTCTGTTTAGCCTTCTATTGACACGGCTGAGTGTCAACTTCAGGAAAAGGAGGCTCTGGGGGGATGGAGGATGGGGGGTGTGGAGGCCCAGCAGAGGGGTACATCTCAGCATCTCCTCCACTACTGGGTGGTTTTGGGGAGCCACTCAAAGGCTTTGAAAATTGGTTTCCTCAGCTCCAACCTGACATGAAGAAAAACTACTTTATAATATCTCATAAACAAAGTCTCTGGCCCTTAGGAAGGATCTAAAAAATAGTAGCTATAATTGTTAAGAAGAAATAGCAGGAGATGTAGATCCCTTTAACCAGCTTTGTGGTTTTGAGCAGCTTCACTTCTCTGGACCTCAGTTTTCTCAGCTGTTAAATGGACTTAGTAATAAATAGTTGCTCTTCTGCTCTCTATGGGGTTAACATGTGCAAATGAGTGAATACATGCAAATGTATTCTATGCCCCCTCCGCATCTCATCCCTCCACCCTCAGCCTGGTTGTAGAGCCCTATTGAAGGTATCTGAGGAATGCCTTCATGCTGAAAATTGGTGACCATGGCTTGTGGTGCGGCGTCCCTCCCAATCCTTTGTACCCCAGTTAGGAAGTGCATCTTCATCAAAATATTACCCCAAAGAAACGCTACCCCACGGTGGTGGGATTCCTGATGGGTCATTCATGCATTCTCCAGATCTTCCTGAAGCCTGGCAGTTTCAGTGCCAGGCACCCGGAGTGCATTGGCAAGGGTGCCCTTTCAGCCCTCCAGCGGGTGACAGATGCAAAAAATGAGCCAAAGGGGTTTTAGAGGCACGGGCTGTAGGTGCTTGGAGCAGGTACATCTAATTCCAACAGATCTAATTCAGAGAAGCTTCCTGAAGGAGGGGATGCTTGATGCGAACATGCTGATGTGAGGGAGGAGTAGGAGTTCGCCTTTGGAGGGGTACAGCCCAGGCAAAGGGGAAGAAGCCTGAAATGCCTGCTGCCTCTGGGGGATTAGCAGGGGGAAGCTGAGGCCCAATTGGGGCAGGTCTTAGGGGCTCCGCCAAGGAGAACTCAGCCCTGGGAGCCGTGGAGGGGCAAGGTGGTCCTCCATGGCTCCAGTGTTCACCTCGACTGCATTGTGAGAGATGGGCTGGTAGTGGTGGTGAGGGGCGGGTGCTGGGGACCACGCGAGGGGAGGCTAGACATAGGGCTATGCAGGTGTAGCTGAGGTAGTGACACTGGGAGGGGTGGGAACCAGAGGAAGCAGAGGACAGCAGGGACCACTTGGGAGGTATTATGATGACAGCTCCCCTTTTGTGCCAGGCACTGTTCTAAGAATTTTGCATGTGTTTGCTAATCATAAAACTCTAACCAGGTAGGAAGTAGAATGATCCCCATTTTACAAATGAGGTAAACCTGCCCAGTAAGTGGCGGAGCTTCCTCACTGTGCTGCTGTGTCATGGTCAGACTTGATGATGGATTGGATGTGGAGGCCAAAGGGAGGTCTGGAATCCTCCCCTGGCTCTGGCCAGGGCAGCTGGGTGGGCATCAGGGCCATTCTTGGAGGGGCTCAGCAGGGGGAGGACTGCGGGTGGAGATGAAGAGTTCAGGGCAGGCCATGTTGAGAGGGAGGGACTTCTGGGACCAAGCTTGCCCTGTGGTCTGGAGGTGGACAGGCAGAATGGGGGCACACAGGGGCACATCCTGGGGGGCTGTGGCTGTGGGGGTGAGCTCAGCCGGGTTTCCCTGTGCCCCCAGGCCACACCTGCAGCACTACTCGCTATGCCTTATTGGCACAGCCTCAGGTGTGGTAGGTGGGCAGGGCTCGGGGCTCTACCATAGCACCACTCATGATTCATGTCTTGTGTGGAACTTGGCAGGTCTGAGATGCCTGAAACATCCAAGATGGGTGGGACCCAAGTCCTGGGCTGCCCTCAGTGCCTTCCTCAGGCTCTGCTCTTGGAGGACTTGGCTAAAGACACTTCTACCAACGCCTGGCCCCCTGGAGTCACTCTCCTGGGGGTAGGCCCAGGCCTCCCTGGGGCATTGGTCCCAGATCAGGAGCTTGGGAGGGGAGCTGGGATCCTATTCCCTTGGGAATGCACAAATGGCTCTCCACAGGGAGGAATTGATTGATCAGGACTGATTGCTTCAGGCACCACCAAGTAGCCCTGGACCTTGCAAAAGGGCTTCTTCCACCTTCCCTCACAAGCAGGGCAGCCAGGCGGGGGGCCCCTGCCCAAGCCAGCTTGGCCGACCACGGCTGTCCACCTGTTCCCCTGGCCGGCCCTGTCCACATCTCCAGCACTGGTATTCCTCGATCCATCTCAGGCCCTTTCCTGGCTCGTCTCCCTGGGAGCCTCCCCCCTCCCCCCAGGTCAGTGGCATCCACTCTGTTCTTCCACCCCAGCCCTCTTCTCTGATCTCTAGACCCATAGACCCAAATGCCCAGTGGACATCTCCATGTGATGTCCTGACAGCACATCCATGCTGTGTCTGAGGCTACGCATGTCCCAGACAGGTTTCATCACCTCCCCCATTGTGTTTCCTGGATCCATCATCCCCAGAACCCCTGCTGGAAATCGGAGCCAGCTCTGACTGCCCTCCCTCTCTGTTCCCCTCCCCAGCCCTGCTGGCTCTGCCTCTCCCAGTCCTTCTTCCTCTCCAGTCTCTCATTTCGGCATCTCCACGACCTTCCTAAAACTGTGCCATGACTGCCCCACTTCAGCCTGTGGGGGCTCCCATTACATCCAGGAGAAGTCCCAGCTCTCATCCTGCTGAGCAGGTCCCCACCACCTGCCTCATGGACCCCCAGCCCCTCTGAGCCTCTGTGCTGGCTTGTCCTGCCCTTACCACCCACACGTGTCCGCCTTGCCTCTGAGCCTTTGCTTTTGTGCACCTGGAGCTCCATCAGCCAGAGCGCTCTTCCTGTTCTCTTTGGTCTGACCAGCTCCTGCCAGTCCTGCCAGGTGCAGCTCGGGGCTACTTCTTCCAGGAAGGACTCCTGATTCTGAGGCTGCTCGAGTGGGGATTGCAGACTGTTTGCCTTTCTGTTCTGGGAGCTCCAGGAGAGCAGGGCTGGTGGTCTTGGACGCAGCTCCCAGCCCAGGCCCAGCAGAACTATTGCTCAGGAAGAGTGAAATGAATGACCCGAGGCCAGTTCATCTTTCAGGCTGTACACTGTCACCTCCTGAGCGGTCATCTCTGATGCAGGCATCCACGTGGTCCCGCAGGGTCTGGCAGCGATGTTGTGAGCAGTCGCTTTGCTGTCAGCCTGCACTGACTTTGCTCTGGGCCTAGGTGATTTCCAAGTCAGTGGGGCTGGCAGGGCCTGTGCCCTTGCTTAGGGTGGGGGCACCACCAGGCTCCCCTTCCCCATCTCCTCTTCTTTCCATACCCCCTGCCTTGTTCTTTCCTGAGGTGGGAAAGGACCGAGACAGCTTGTTAGTGGCACTTACAGGTCCTGGCTGTTTCTTGGGGAGTCTTGGCTGGGCTGTGGCCTCCGTGAAAATCCCCCTTTGGTGGTCTGCAGAGCAGCCCCTCCCCGCTCCCGACCGAGGCCGGGTGCATAAATCACCCTGGCTGGCCTGGCTCTCCTACCCCTGTGCAGCCCCGCCTGTCCCCGCCCTCAGGCCCACTCCGGCCTGGTTCCCAGGCAGGCCCCAGCCCAGGGCTCTGGCCCAGGCCCCCCTCGCCCGCCGAGCGTGCCCCTCCGCTGCAGCCAGCGGGCTGAGATGGAGGCCTGCGCTCCCGGCCTGGGCAGTCCTATCCGCGGCACCCGCGGGCAGTAAATATTATATTACCACAGGGTGTGCAGTACGTGACCTGAGACAGGCCCCGGGGCTTAAGTTTCCCGAGATGGAGTTTGCGTATTGCTCCCCCCACCCTAAAAATTCAATTAAAAAAAATAACAGGAAAAATGTAGTGCGCCGAGGGCCTGCCAGAGTGGTGTATCTGGCGGCGGCGGTGCCGCTGCGCTCCGGCGGTAATTGGTTCTGCATAGCTCGGGGAAATTGGCAGAAAAATAAATCAGCCGGGAGCCGGGAGTCGAGACGCTGCGGGGAGGGGAGCAGGAGGTGGGGGGGCCGTGCAAGGGGTGGGAGCAGACCTGGCGGAGCGGGGTTGACTAATGTCCTGTTTGGGAGTCGAGGGCTTGGCTGGGGGTGGGGTGCTCTCCCCACACCCTAGATCAGGGACAATCAAGAGGTGTCCTGCCTGGTGAGGGAGAGCACAGATGCACAGGGCCCCCATCCTGTCCTGCATGACCCGTGTGTGTGCTGACCCTGCAGGCTTGGAACCGTGAGGAGGAGCCCCATGGGAGTGGGGGTGTCAGAGTTCTTTGCCTCCAAACAGGATTGAGTTTAAACCTAACCCCTTACTTGGGGCACAGGGCTGTGTTTCTGGGACCGCATGAACCCCGCCTCCTCTCCAAAGGCTTCCCAAAGCAAAGGGGTCTGGCAAGGATGTTGCAAGGCAGCCCTGGGTGGACACATCGGTATACTGGCTGCTGACCTCTCTGCAACGTCTGCAGTGGCTCGTCAGGGGTCTATAAATTTCTTTCTTGAAGAAAGTGTGCACAACACAGAATGGATTTGTTTTAGTGGAGGGCAACTTAGCGCTCAGGCTTCTGCTCTAGGAGGACCCAGGGGCAGGAGAGGGCCTTTTGGGCCCTCTGAGAGCTTGCAGTCTGTTGGGGAGAGGGGGACACTCATGCAAAAGAACTTACCAGACTGGAGTTGAGGATAAGTTCCAAACAGGTGGCTCCAAAGCAAAGTCTGGTGGGCTTCAGAGTTGGAAGCATGCTGCCGATGTGGCTGGGCAGGCTTCTGGGAGGAGGCGAGGATGGGGCACGTCCCACAGAGGTGACTGTGCATGCAGATCAGGCTGAGGGTGTGGGCCTGTTGTGAGGGCCAGTGCACAGGCATGTGTGTACCTGGACCTGGGGGAGTGCTGGGCTCCTGTTCGTCAAGCACATCCCATCTGTCTTTTCCTCACAGCCAGCCTCTGGGCGATGTCCACCAGACACCCTCTGCCACCCACCTGGACCAGTACTTGTACCGGCTGCGCACCCGTCACCTGAGCCAAATCACTGAGGCCGCCCTGGCCCTGAAGCTTGACCACAGCGAGCTCCCGGCTGCCCTGGAGCAGGCTGAAGATTGGCTTCTGCGTCTCCGTGCCCTGGCGGAGGAGGTAGTTAACTCCGCGAGGCACCTTCTTTCTTCTGCCCTCCTGCTACCTGGATCATCAGCACTGGGAGGGACAAGGGACCATGATCCAACCCTGGTTCCATTGCTGGGTGACTTTGGGCAGGTGACTTAATCTCTCTGGGCCTCAAGGTCCCATTGGTAGAAGGAGGAGAGAGGATGCAACGGGATATTGGGTGTTATGGAGCCCACCCAGAGCCTGGCGTACATTAGGTACTTAACAAATGCACACTACCCTCCAAAGTATGTCCAGACAGAGTTGAGACCAGAACCCAGGTACAGAGCCTGGGCCTGCTTCCCCAGGGACCTGATTCCTTCTGGCCAACCTGGCCCCAAACCTGCCTCTCACAGGCCCTGTATTTTCTGCTCTTCTGGATGCCTTGTGCCACAGGCCTGGGGAGGCAGCATTTGCTGTAACCCTGAGCTTTGTCATATCTAATCAGAGAGAATTGGCTCCAGTTTGTCTTTGGGAACACCATTTCCACACCTGCATACCCTCCCTCCCCAGGTCTTCAAGGCCAGATGCACCCACCCAGTTCTCTGGCAAGCAGGCAGGCCACAGATTTGTCCAGAAGGACAAGAAAGTTCTGCTCATAAGTAGTGAGCAGACACAGCTGCTGCCCACTCTGATCAGAGCCATCTGGACCCCTAGGGAGGAGGTGGGGATGGTGAGGAAGGGACTCCCCAGAAGGAGTGTGTGGAGAAGGGCAGGTCCAGGAGAGGGGCTTCAGCAGGAGTGAGCTGTTGGAGGGGAGAGGGAGGCCCAGGTGGTGGGAGGGTGCTCAGGAAGAGATGATGGTTGGTGGAGTCAGCCTTGGATGCCTCCCTGAGCAGGGTCTGCAGGCACGTGGCCAGTTCCCTAGGGGGGACTGTGTCGCTCAGCCACAGACCAACCCTTCAGGCTGGTCACTGGCTGCCCTCCATCATCTTGGCCCAGACTGACCTTTGAACTCTTGGCACAGATTGTGATATGGCTGGGAGGGGTTAAGGCCACTCGGGTGTTATTTCTTCACTGGAAGGTGGACAGAGCCCTTCTCAAACCCGAGTGTGTGTCAGAATCCCCTGGAGGGCTTGTGAAACAGGTTCCAGGCCCACCCCCAGAGTTCCTGACCCCCAGGTCTGGGGTGCTGCCTGACAGCATGCATTTCTAAGTTCCCAGGAGCTGCTGTGCTGCTCAGGGGCCACACTTCGAGAACAGCTGGTGTAGTGGTTAGGAACACCTCAACCTCTCTGAGCCTGAATCTCCTCACCTGTCAGGTGGGAGGCCTCCCAAGCTCACTACAGGGATTAAATGAAACTGTGCCTGTGACATGCTGAGTGAGGGCTCCAGGAGATCAGCTCAGCAGTAGCCCTGGGTAGAGACCCCACCCCACCCAGGGCACACTTTGCTCATCATCCTCGGAAGCAGATGGACCCCTGCCCAGCTGTCTCTCCAGAGTGTCCCATGGGCAGCAGTTGTCACTCACTGCTAGAAGCCCTGGGGGGCTCAGGGGCCTTGAAGTTTTGGTCTGGGCTAGTCACCACAGTCAGAGCCAATTGTCTCAAGACCCCCAGGTCCCTGTTGTTAGAGCGAGGAGGAGTGGGTGTCCTCTGGGAAGGGGCACATCCTCCGTGGATTTGCTGCTTCTCTCAGGGCTGAGCAAGGGGGGTGGTATCTTAAGTGTGGTGTCATCTGCCTGGTCAAATCTAATCCTCCAGCGTTTACCCATGGGAACATTTACCTAGTAGAGGGGACCTAGGAACTTAAGCTCTGAGCTCCAGGCAGAGGCATCTCTTCCCAGAAACATGTACTCAGCTAGGTGAATTTTTGGTGGGCTCCTCATGTGAGCCGGGGGCAGCCTCCTGCCCTGTCCTCTGGGGGCTCACAGCTGCTGAGGACAGGCACTCAGCTAGCCCTGAGAGGTCAAGGCGAAGGCCCAGGCGGGTAGCGTGTGGGATGAAAGCCGAGGGAGGAGAGGCCTTTGCGGCCTCTGAGTCAGAGGTCAGCTCACGGTGTGGCTGACGGGCGTGGACCGGGGCATGTCAGCTTTCCCACCCTGACGGCCACCCTCCCTCCAGCCCCAGAACAGCCTGCCGGACATTGTCATCTGGATGCTGCAGGGAGACAAGCGTGTGGCGTACCAGCGGGTGCCCGCCCACGAAGTCCTCTTCTCCCGGCGGGGTGCCAACTACTGTGGCAAGAATTGTGGGAAGCTGCAGACGATCTTTCTGAAAGTGAGTTTTCTTTTTTCCCAAGTCATGATCGTGTTTTCTCAACACAAGGTTTTTCTCCCATCTCTACTGTCTCCTTCTCCTGTTCTCGTCCTCTCTCAGAGTCCTTGGGCTCTGGTCTAGGAGGGGGCGGAGGTCTTTGGTCCTTTACCTCTGTCCCCCACAAAGTACCCAGACTCCACACATCTAGACCAGAAAGTTAGCAGGTTTGAGCTGGAATTATGGGGCCTAGAAATGAACGAGGTCGCGTCTCTGGCCCCAGGCCATCTAGGAGGCTGATCCCTGAGTAGCTGTACTCCTGCTCCCAAACAGGTACCTGGTAGGGAAGCATCAACCCCCAGCCCCAGCCTCTTACAGTCCTGGCACAGACCTGGTCTCCACGCCCTGCCTGTGTGCCCCCGACTCCAGCTGGAGCCACGCTCAAGCTCAGGTTCCTCCCTGCTGGGAAGGCTGGTGTCTGGGGCTTGGGTCCAGGTGTGTCATGATTTGGACCCGCTGGAGAGCTGGGAACATGTAATTCTGTGCCCCAGTCTCAGCTGGCCCGCACCTCTCCTTCCCTTTCTCCTCTTCCAGCACCATCCCTGCTCCGTCTCCATCTTCTCTGGGGGGATTGACCAGCCTTGAGGGTGGGCTGATGAGAAGTGAGCCAGGTGCTTAGGGCTAATGTGGGGACATAGAGCCAAGGCTGTTTTGGTCAGGGGACTGCAGCCTGATGGTCAGAACATAGTGTGGGGAAATCCCATCCTGTGCTATGGCAGCCCAGGCTCAAGGGGAGGGTCCCTCTTTGAAGGGCTGCCATTGAGGCTGCCCCTGTCAGAGGAGGAGTGGCGCTGGGAGCGGGTCTGCTCTTTACCACTTCCTGTTTGCTCCCAGTGGCTCTGTTAGCATCCAAGGCTCTGTTAGCTTGCCTGGCCTTCATCTCAGCCTGGCCCATGTCCCCAAAGCCCCTTTGCTCTCGACCTCCCTCTTCCCCACGTCTCTCCCCCCACCTCAGATCTTCTAGGAAGTCATGGTTGACTAACCTTAGTCTCTAACCCTCTGAGCAGAGCCCTCTGAGTGACTGTTGGTCAACCCATTTATAGAGTGGCCAGCCATTCTCTTTGCCCCCTAGGGTAGGTAGATAAAACAGACTTCAGCAGTACAGTGTGTGCAGACGGGCTGGAACTCTGTGTGGCCTTGGGCAGGTTGCCTAACCTCTCTGAACTGCCTGCTGTCTTCTCACCTATAAAATGAGGATGAGGTTACCCATTTCACCAGTTTTTTTTTTTTTTTGTGGCTGGCCAGAATGGGAATCCAAACCCTTAACCTTGATGTTAGAAAAACTGTGCTCTACCCACTTGAGCTAACCAGCTAGCCTTTCCCCTCCCCCCCTCTTCACAGGCTTTAAGGGTTGAATTAGGTAATGGGTAATGGGTCTTGCTGAAACTAGGTGATCAGTGGGTATTAGTTTCCCCCCCTCTTCTCCCCTTTCCCTTTTGGGGAGCTCCCTTGCACCTTGGGGAGAGGAGGCTCCATAAGTGCCATGTCTGAAAGCCAACCCAAGGCCAGGAATGAACAGAAATCTGCACACAGAGTCATTGGTACTTCAGAGGAGAGGCCAGCATTGCCCAGAAAGTGGAATCAGGTGTGTGTGTATGTGTGTGTATGTGTGTGTATGTATGTATGTGCATGTGTGTGTGTGGGGGGTGGGGATGCAGCAGGCTCCCCCCTCCCACCGCCTGGGTGAGGCATCCCCCAGGAAGAGAGTGCTCACATGCCACCTGGGGCACATTTCCCATGTAATTCCAACCTCCTAGAATATTAACCTCTGAGAATCTCCCTCCTAAGCCAGTATCTTGCCTAGTGGGGCAGAAAGGACAGGAAGTCAGGGAGAGGCCACATCTGAGTGGGGCTAACCAGGGAGGGCTGTTTGGCAAGAGCGGAGGTGGGGCTGCAGGAGCAGGTCTGCTGGACTCGCTGGAAGAGGATGGGCTCCGAGATCTGACCTTTCGGCCCCACAGCCTTGGGGAAATGCAAACTGAAAATTTTCCCTGATTCTAAGCAAAAAAAAAAAAAAAAAAAAAAAGATATAGAATTGTTTCTCGAAGTCTCCCCGACTGAGTTTATGAACCCCGCCAGTAGCTCCTGAGCAAGCCCTACAAAAATGTTGGCAGCAAGCAGAGACCAAGAAAACATTGGTGTTTCTTAACTTAAACCAAAGTTGGAAAAAATGAGCACCAGCAGAGGAGAGGAGCCCCAAACTAGACATTTCTTTATTTGCTGTTGCTATTTTGGGTCCGGCAGGCTGGCCCTGTCTGGGGGAGGGCAGGGAAGAGGGCTGGGGGTGGATGGGGGAAGAGCGGGTCAGGCATTCTTGCCATCTCCCTGGGGCTGGTGGTTTGGAGGGGAAAAGGCAGCTAAACACCCAGGGGAGAGGACAGCTGAAGCGACAGCCAGACAGCCGGACAGCTGGACAGCCGTGGGGAAGTTTCCAGGGGGTGGCACGTGGGGTCAGGGGCTCCTCCAGGCATCACCAAGGATGAACCAAAAGAAGAGGGGCTGGGTCTGTGGTCGGGAAGTGTGAGATGGTCACTGCCTAGGCATGTCCAGCACCCTGTCTTGAACCTCCTACCTGCCTGGGCTCTCCCTCTAGGAATCCAGGCCTCTTCCACTGCTGTGGGACCCCTTGCCTCAACCTCCCTTTCCTCTTCTGAGCCCATTCAAACTGCCGTCTCCTCCGGCTCAGCTCCCCCGAGCTCATGCACACTAGGCCCAGGCATTCCACGTGTTGCCTCCTCTTGGGGACAATGTGTTATTCGAAGAGTGAGAAACTTCTGCTCCTTAAGCCATATCCAACCTTTGCTATCAATCAAATGGTGAAGTAATTGTGGAGAATAATTTTTGTATGTTGGCTTGTTGTGGTTATTCCATTTTGGCAGAGCTTCTGAAGGTTTCAGGATTAAAAAGCAGTTGAAGACTAATGAATAGTGGTTAACATGCTGATAAGCACTGGAAAGAGCAGGGATATTAGATGATACACTACTGCCTCCACCCCCCAAAGACTGGAAATGAAGGGGAGGCTTTAATTTCTTCCTTTCCAGACCTGTATCACTGTATCTCCTTTACAGATAAGTTCTGGAACTGTGCTTCCCAATATGGTAGCCACATATGGCTGTTTAAATTGAAATTAATTAAAATGAAATACATCTGAAAATTCAGTTCCCTCAGTCACACTAGCTACATGTCAAGTGCTCAGTAGCCACATGAGGCTAGTAACTACCATCTTGGATGGTGCAGATATAAACCATGTCTATCACAGCAGAAAGTTCCACTGGACAGTGCTATTTCAGAAGAGAATGGAAATGAGGGTGGCAGGAGAAAGGGAGAATGAGGCTCCTGGTCTGGACATGGCCCCTCTCTGCTGACAGCTCCTACGTGGGGATGATGCAGTCTCCTTGGATGGGAAGGAATCTTGGCAATGGGGAGAAGCTTTCTTAATTATACACTTTCCTTCCATGAAGTTCTAAGTCCTCCATCAGGGCTCACACCAAATGGGGTGTCAGGCTGGTATGCCCAGGCTTGGAGGACCCCTCCTCCACTGGGACAGCCTGATCCTGAAGGGAGCTGTGGATTTCTGTCCTTCTCTGGTTCCCAGTATCCGATGGAGGGGGTCCCTGGTGCCCGGATGCCAGTGCAGATACGGGTCAAGCTCTGGTTCGGGCTTTCCGTGGATGAGAAGGAGACCAAATGGGGTGTCAGGCTGGTATGCCCAGGCTTGGAGGACCCCTCCTCCACTGGGACAGCCTGATCCTGAAGGGAGCGGTGGATTTCTGTCCTTCTCTGGTTCCCAGTATCCGATGGAGGGGGTCCCTGGTACCCGGATGCCAGTGCAGATACGGGTCAAGCTCTGGTTCGGGCTTTCCGTGGATGAGAAGGAGTTCAACCGGTTTGCTGAGGGGAAGCTGTCTGTCTTTGCAGAAACGGTGAGTGCCTGCCAGCCCGCCCCTGCCTCGCCCCAGAGCTGCTGTGGCTCCCACTTACTTCTCCCTCTTCCTCACCTTCCAGTATGAGAACCAGACCAAGCTGGCCCTGGTGGGGAACTGGGGCACCACGGGCCTTACCTACCCCAAGTATTCTGACGTCATGGGCAAGATTAAGCTCCCCAAGGACAGTTTCCGCCCCTCAGCTGGCTGGGCATGGGCAGGAGACTGGTTCGTGTGTCCGGAGAAGACGTGAGTCATGGGGAGTGAGGGCTTGGGGAGGGCCAGGTGAGGCTGCCCACCAGCACCCACCCCAGCCCTGGGCTCTGTCTCTGAAAGGCCTCGGCTCTGTGAGTCCCTCTGCCGCCCGCCCTCTGCTGCTCGGAGGGGCTTCCACTTGAACTCCCAGGGCTGGGCTCACGAGGTAGCGTCCCTCTCAGGAAGGTCTGTAACCGTCAGGAAGTCCTTTCTATTAGGACTCCACTCAACTTCACGTCCATTGGCTGTGTCTCCGTCCTCCAGGATACCTGGACAAGCCCCTCGCCCCCTGCACGTTAACCCTCGCGGTGTCCGAGGCGCTCCCACACTCCCCGGAGCGGTCCTCCTGCCCTCTTGGTCTTTCTCAGATCAGCATCCTCCATCTGCCTCTTTCTCCTTGCTCTTTTCTTGTGGGGAAAACAACTTTTCCATGGGGCATTCAACAACTGTTTTTTTTAATTTAAAAAGTTGAAGTGTAACTTACATATTACATGGTCAAGTAAGAAGTCTTAAGCGTACAGCTTGATAACATTTTGTATTTCTACAGCTGTCTCTCGAGCTTTGGCTGTCCATCCAGCTTTTGGGGTCTTCAGTTGGTCTCCCTTTCTCTTTCTGTATCTCGGGTGGTGTGTTCTTATGTCTGTGACTGTCCCGGGGCCTCCTTCTTGCTCTCTGCCCTGGTCTCTGCACCCTCTTCCCTCTCCCCTCATCTCTCTTGTTGTTGTCCAGGGCAAGGCCGACACAGACACCTTGGCCAAGGCCCGGGTGCTGTCCTGGAGGCAATGGCGGTGGGGGGTGTCTCTTTGGCAGAGACTCTGACCGGCTCTCCCCCGCAGCCTGCTCCATGACGCTGATGCCGGGCACCTGAGCTTCGTGGAGGAGGTGTTTGAGAACCAGACCCGGCTTCCCGGAGGCCAGTGGATCTACATGAGTGACAACTATACTGATGTGGTGAGGGGGTGCTCAGGGACAGGTGGGGTTTGCCTTCCCTGGAGTCCTGGACATTTGGTCCCAGGAGGGGCCTGTGGCTTAGAGAAGGCTGGGACATTTCTCCCCTGCTCACACCTCCTGAGCCTCCATGCTCTGGGGTCCAGAGGGACAGTGTGGGGTCCAGCAGGGGCAGGACACTGATCCTGAGTCACGCAGGTCCCCAGGGGCTCTGCCCTTCTGTCTGGGGCTTTGAGGATGTATATTGTCAAGTTGCTTCTTTTCTGTCTCGGTGCTGACATCCGTTGGTCTCTTCTCATGCTTGCCTGTCCTTAGAATGGGGAGAAGGTGCTTCCCAAAGATGACATTGAGTGCCCCCTGGGCTGGAGGTGGGAAGATGAAGAGTGGTCCACAGACCTCAATCGGGCCGTTGATGAGCAAGGTGGGCAGCACGTGGAGCCTGGTGAGCCCCACCCCCAGCAAATTCTGCAGATAGGGACAGCTGAATGGCCTGGAGCACTGACCTTCACTGGGCTACTTCATCTGGGGGACTTCCTGAAGGCGGTCCCCACTCCAAGCTACAAATTAGGACCAGGAATCAGTGGCTGCTCAAGTGTCTGTGAGCATGTCCCGAATCTCCCAGGAAATCTCCCAGGAGAAATGAGGAATGAGTGACAGGTGTCCCCTCCCCCAGGCTGGGAGTACAGCATCACCATCCCCCCGGACCGGAAGCCGAGGCACTGGGTCCCCGCTGAGAAGATGTACTACACTCACCGACGACGGCGCTGGGTGCGCTTGCGCAGGAGGGACCTCAGCCAGATGGAAGCGCTGAAGAGGGTGAGCCACCAGGCAGTGGATGGGAGTGAGGCCCCTTGGTAGGGTGAGGCCAGTGGGCACAGGTGCAGACCTGTATGCACAGAGACATGTACACGTGCAGGTGTGCATGTGGTATGCACAGGCACAGGGGACTCCTTCGAGATGCTCACAGATCACACCCAGAACATACACAGATGCACATACAGATCACATCCAGCACACACAGATGCTCACAGACAAAGAACACACCCGATTGCCCATGACTACTTGATGAGGTCACAGGCAGAGTTTACACAGACCTGGAAGGTGGAAGAACATCCAAGGATTTTGTCTTAGGCTGGGTTTCCTCCAGGCAGAGTCTAAGACAGGGATTTGGCTACATGTTATGGAGGCCATGCTCTCAGGAGTGTGAGGAGCAAGGATATGGCCTCCACAGAGTCAGCCTTGGCCTGAGGAGGGGTGCTCTGTCGAGCACCACAGAATCAGCCTCACCTGAACGTAGGGGGTCAGGGTTTGTACCCTCTGAGCCATCCATCATTGGCTGAGGGCTGCTGGGGTGGGCTGGGGCACAGACTCCCCAGTGAGGTGGCTCCCTTCAGCCGTGGGGATTCCCTGACACACCTGGCAGCTGGGGCTGATGAAGGGGCCGAGCTGCACTCCATCAGCATTCACCCAAGGACACGCGCAGTGTGAGCACATACGCGTGCAGTCGTGCACAGATACCACGGGACGCAGACAGGCCTGCAGTGCACATGTGTGAGGGCTTGTGAGCACATGCACTTGCTGCAGAGTCACGTGGTGCCCATGTTTTGCACAGCCTCCATGCCTCCTTCCCTGGGCCCCCTTGGTCTCTATCCTTCCTTCTCAAGCACACATTTGAATTTTGGCTTAAGAACCAGGCCTCCTCCAGCCTAAGAGTAGCCTTTGGCATTTCCCAGGTTGCTTCTTGCTCTTTGGCTACAGAGAACCTAGAGAATCACAGAGAATCTAGAGAGGAATGTTGCTGAGTCTGGGGAGAGGCAAGACTTTTGGATAACCAGTTGTTCCTGGCGAGGTGAACCAGACAGATTCGGCTGTCTCCCTGAAGGTGCACCAGCACCCTTCCTAGAGAATCACAGAGAATCTAGAGAGGAATGTTGCTGAGTCTGGGGAGAGGCAAGACTTTTGGATAACCAGCTGTTCCTGGCGAGGTGAACCAGACAGATTCGGCTGTCTCCCTGAAGGTGCACCAGCACCCTTCTTGGAGTGGGGTGCAGCTGGCCTCCAGGACTGGCCCTTGTCACTGTTCTCCTGGACCAGACCTGAGGTGGTGTCTGAAGATAGTCCCAGGTCCCCCTCTCCCAGGAGCTGGATGGTGAGGGACTTTCAGGACTCCCTCCAGGTTTGGGAAAGGGCCCCCTTTGAAGGAAGTGCAGGGGGGTCCCTCCACAGGTGACCTAGGTCTAGCCTCCTGTGGAGAAATAGCCTAGGGATAAGAAATGGGAGCTTCTTTTTGCCTCTGAATTATAGACCCACTTTCATTTTTATAAGCCGGAATGTGAAGAAGAAAAAGGAAATGACAAGAAAACCTTGGATTCATGAAATCCACCCATAAATCAAATAAACAAGCAAACCAAAGCCCAGTGTTTTTATCACTGCTTCAGTCTACCTTCCTTTTCTGGCTTCTCAGTTCTCCCACAGCCCACAGAGCCTCTTCTCTCCTCCTGATTTTCTGATCTGGGCTTCTTGTTGCTGCGGAAGCTGCACAAAGTCCCCCTCGTCCTGGTGGCCCTTCCAGGTTTTCCCGCCAGGAGGTCACTGGTGTGGGAGCCAGGGAGGAGTGGTTGTGAAGGGCAGGAAGGCACAGCTGGGGCCGAGCCCAGGACTCCCCAGGGGCCACCTACTGGCCTCTGAGTCTGCCCCATTGTCCCGTGCAGCACAGGCAGGCTGAGGCGGAGGGTGAGGGCTGGGAGTACGCCTCGCTGTTTGGCTGGAAGTTCCACCTGGAGTACCGCAAGACGGACGCCTTCCGCCGCCGCCGCTGGCGCCGCCGCATGGAACCCCTGGAGAAGACAGGGCCTGCAGCTGTGTTTGCCCTTGAGGGGGCCCTGGTAGGTTGGGCTGTGCCTGTCTTGGGTTGGGTGGGGTATAGCTTGGCTTCCCAGGGTTGTTTCGGGCTGACATGGGAGAGGTGCAGGAGCCCTAGGTTAGGCCTTTTGGACGGAACATTGGCCAGTCATCCTGGCTTCAGTTCCTGTGGGGCTGCATGTGGGGAAAGTGGGCAGCAGTCTGGGTGTTCACCTAAAATAGAAGCTCTTTTCTTGGCACCAGAAGACCTGCTGCTTCTTTGAGTAGTTAAGATGGGAGCAGAGGGGGAGATGGCCTTGGCCTTCTGATCGTCTGATGGTCCTGGCTCTTCCTGAAGAGACTGGCAGGGATGGGGATGTGTGGGAGGCTTTGGCCTAGCCCATGGTGGTAGCCAGAGAGGCCTAGTGACCCCAGAATGTGTTTGGTTGCACATGTGTCCTCCTAAGACAGAGGCCATCTCATTGGTATCCCCAGGGATTTTCAGGGAGCGATGTGGGTTAGAAACTGAGCCTCAGGGGCCGGCCCGGTGGCGCACTGGATAGTGCGCAGCTTGGGAAGCGCGGCAGCGCTCCCGTCGAGGCCATCTCATTGGTATCCCCAGGGATTTTCAGGGAGCGATGTGGGTTAGAAACTGAGCCTCAGGTTGGCTGTCCTTTCCCAGTGTGCACTTTCTGTGGCCAGTGGAACTGGGGTCGGTCAGGGTTACCTGGGGTCTGGGTGATGGGCTCTCCAAAAGAAATGGGCAGGCGCTTCCTGGACAGTCTGAGTAGGAACACTCAGGGCTAACACACAGCCTGTTTCCTGATGGCCTGGGGATTCCTGGAGGTGGGAGTGAGAGGCCCTGAGTGAGACAACCCCTCTGAAATCCGGCCAGGACTGTGCACCTTCCATGGGGGCTTTGGGCTATGACCTTGGGGAGCAGGTCCCACCAGGTGCACTGGCTGATGGGATCTGAAGGTATCCGTGTGCATGTGAGGTAGGTGTCTTTGGTTGGGGTCAGGGCTGGACACAGATCTGTGGGACAGCCCAGCTATGAGGGCTCAGGGAAGACAGTGGGGCAGCCCCAGGATCTGATAGGAAGAGATTTAGAGCCAGCAGTGGGAGTGGGCAGGGTAGGGAGGTCCTATCAGTGTCAGGCCTTGATGATGGGCTAGGCCCAGTGGTGGCAATAAAGGACAGGAAACCCTCTGGGGGCCTGACATCAGAGAAGCCTGTCAGAAGCTCTGGAGGGTACACACTCCCTTGGCCTGGGGTCAAGTCAGGGGAGGCTGAGGGGTGACAGCAGAGTCCTGGGCTCTCTGGGCTCCGACCTGGTCCTCAGGCCAGGGCAGGATGGAACTTCTGCCTGGGTCTCAGCAGCCACAGTGGGGGGTCTCCTGGGGCAGGGCTGGTATTGGGTGACTCTCTTTGTCTTGAGTCAGAAAGGGCCTGGCTTGGGCCAGTGATGGATGGTGGTTGTGTGGTGGTCATGCGGTGGTCACGTGGCTCCAGCTGGGGGTGAGAGAGAAAGACCTGGACAGGCCTCAGAGTCAACGCTGGCTCTGGGAAGGCCAGGCTGGCACCCTAAGGAACGAGGATTTGTTTCCATCAGACAGAAACTCAACTGGGCTAAAGAGAAAAAGGGGGTTTATGGGTTCACACAGCTGGGAAGAGCCCAGGAGGTGAATCAGGCATTGGCCTGGCAGGAAATAGAGGCTCACACAGTGTCCCAGCACTCGCTGCTCTGTCTTGGCCTTGTCTCATACTGGCTCTCTTCACATGGTGGCAAAGGGTGCCGGTGACAAAAGGCTGACATCATGCCTACAGCCAGCAAAGCCCTGCTAGGTAAAAGAGCACAGCCCACCCGGCATTGCTCTCTGCTGTCCTCACAGCTGGAGACCCCACAGTGCTGCGTGACTGGCTGGCTCTGCCTGGGCCGAGGGATAGAGCGTTCTGATTGGCCCGCCTGTGATGGACAGCACCGCCAGGGTGGGAGAGGAACTTACGAAAAGGGAAAAAAAACAACACAGTGCTGGGCAAAGAGCTCCAGATGGCAACCACAGGCCTCTATTCAGTGAGCAGTAGGGAGCCAGTGCGGGTTATTGAGGGGAGGAATGCTCTGCTCAGAGCTGGGCTTTGGGACTATTAATCAAGTAGCCATGGCAGATGCTCAGGAGAGAGAGCTTCCCATCGGGAGACTAGCCGGGGTCTTGGATAGAGGTCCGAGGATGCGGTGACCACTTGGTGTTGGAGCCGCAAGACCAGGGTGGAGGGAGGCGCAGCGGCAGGGCTCGGGGTGGAAGGGTCAAAGGGGCCTTAGAGGCTTGGCTGGGTCAATGGTGGGGCTGCTGCCATTGCCAGGCCGCGGGGCAGGGCAGGGCGGGCCTGGGGCTGCGATGAGTTCACGGTTGGCCCTGGTAAGTCTGACACACACGGTGAAGTGCTGTGTGAGAAAGGCAGATCTGGCGGCTGCCTGCCAGGCGGCCCAGGGCAGGGAGGGCGGGAGGAGTGGGAGCTGTGTCAACTGGGAGGTGAGGGGCCAGGAGCAGAGAGGGCATGAGGCTAGAGGTGCCCAGAGACACGTGGACTGAAGGGTGGCTGGGCTCTGGGGCTGGCCTGGACCTGGAGGAAGAAGGCGAGCAAGACTGGGGGACCCACTGCCAAGCTTTCATGGCTCAGTGACTGGTAGAAAGGGAGGGGGGGGCGCATTTCCCAGAAACAGAGAAGCCGATTGACTTATTCTTTATGTGGGAGAAAATGTCATGAGGGATCACTGAAATCAAGTGTCAAGTCAACAGGCACGGGAAGGTGATTGATTGTAATTCAAATACGACTTGCCTGTGATATGCAGAAGAAACCATTACAGTGAAGCCCGCTGAGCCCTGGAAGGACTTGGCTGGCTTAGAGAGCCAGAGGGAGACAGTGGTTTGAGAGGCTGGGTCCCACAAACCTGGAGTTGGAAGACCGCAGAGTTCTGGGAAGTCTTTAGGTGTGTCCAGCATTTGGATAGGGCCACAGGCCTCTTTTGACAATAACCATCTGGACCACACTGTGCCTGAGTGGACTGAGCCCCCATCAGCCCCCCCCCCCCCCCCCCCCCC